GGCATGGTAGTGCACGCCTGTAGTTCCAGCTGTTTGAGAAGCTGAGGCAGGAGGATCATCGCCCAGGAGGATGAGGCTACAGTCAGCTACGATTATGCCACTGCACTCTAGCCTGGGCAACAAAGCAAGACCCTCGATAAACAAAAAAACAAAGTTCTCTTGTCTAAAGTTTCTTTAGTTCAGTGTGATGACATTTAGAACTCTACAATGTTGGGTTTGTCATTTCTCAATGACCCTTAGTAATCGGACAGTTCTTTTGGAAGAAAAAAAAAAAAAAAGGGAACTCACCCAAACGAAAATATTAGTTGTGTTCAGGTGTTGGGAATATGGGTGGTAGCATTTTTTCTTATAGGCTCTTCAACTTGGTAACACAGCAGGTCCTCAAGTAACATTGTTTCCTTCAACATTGTTTCATTACAATGCTGATGAGAAAAAAAATGGATTCCAGCCTCCAGCCACTGTCTGTGTGGAGTTTGCATGTTCTTTCCATGTCTGTGTGGGTTTTCTCTGGGTACTCTGGTGTCTTCCCACATCCCAAAGCTGTGCACATTAGGTTCAATGTGCACCAATTCAGACATTGGTGTGTCTGAATTGTCCCAGCCTGAATGAGTGTGGGTGGCTGTGTGAGAGTGCGCCCTGCAATGGAATGGTGTCCTCTGGGCTCCTGCCTGGTGCCCTGAGCTGCTGAGACAGGCTCCAGCCACCACGGCCCTGAACTGGAATAAGTGGGTAAATATTAATAACCATCTTACTTATTTTTATTAATTGATCTTAATTATATATATTGCCTTCAGCATTTGATATTAGAAATGTATTGGGTCCTTAGAAGTTTGGTGATGTTTTGTGACCAGAAATATGCCATAGGAACTTACCTCTTGTGAATATCAATTAGCTTAGGGTAAAATTGGTTCACTCTGGACCATTTGGCTTAAAGTTGCAGTTTCCAAAGGTTTATCAGCAATGATGTTATGAGGACTTATAGGACCGCTTTCCTAGGCCACAACATGTGATGAAGGCCTTCAAGTAGTACATCAATTAAAATAAAATAGGGAAATAGTTTTAGGTGCAGCAGCACCCTTTTGCTCCACCTCTCTCCACCTCCAGGAGATTCACTGGAACTGCTGGCAACTTCTTGAATAATTAACCTTGGTGGCCTTGAGCTCTTTCCCGGATCTTAGTTGTCCCTGGTTCCACTCTCTACTCTGCCACCTTGTGGATTTATTGGGAATTGCGTCTTCTACTGGGAGCTTTGCCGACTAGTTATATAACATCTAGTTATCGCGCTGGGGCTTTTCCTGAGAATGGGGATGGGTTTAGTAGAGAATTCTCACCAACCCGGTGACACTCACAATAAGAAACTTTGTTTTTTTTGGTCTTTCTCTATTCCACCCCACTGCTTCTTTTGGGACAATATCTCCAGAGACAAAATTGAAGGGCATTTGATGGCCTTGCCAGTATCACACCTGAATGGCCCTCCCCACCTGAGACCCTGCAGCAGCCTCCGAGGTTGTGATACGGGCCCTGACTCTCTCCGGTCTCACCACCCCAGTCCACCAGAGGTTTCCTTGTGCTTTAAAAAATTATAGAAGTAACACAAGCTTGCTAAGAGCTTACCAGTGAAGGAGACAGATTTTTTAAACAAGTAAACAGATAAATGTAATATGCATAAATTATGGTGAGTGCCGTGAGATGGAGAGTAATGGTGGTGGTGTGGGCAGGGAACGTTTTATTAAGAAGGCTGGTAAGGGCAGGCTTTCCTGAATAGGAGAAATTTCAAATTGAAACTTGAAGGATGGGATGGATCCAGTCATTAAAAGAGGGAGAAAAAGCTCATGCAAAGGCCCTGAGGCAGGAGTGGGCTTGTTAAGTTGCAAGTAAGTGAGTGTGGCCAGATGGCAGTGAGCAGGAGGGGAGTGGCTGGAGTAAGGTTGGAAAGGGCACTAGGCATGTGTAACACAGGGGCCGTCCTGCTTGGTAGGGAATCCAATTTTTTTCTGATTCTCGTGGGAAGATGATGAAAGATTCTTAAGCAGGGAAGTGATGAGGTCTAACTGATATTTTCTATCTCATCCTTGCTGCTGCCTGGAGAATGGATTGAAGCAAACAGGGAGGGAAACTAGAATCTCATTTGGGAGCCTGGTGTCAGAAGCTGGTTGAGGGAAGCAGTGGCCTAGACTTGGGTTGTGTCAATAGAGACAGAAGGATCTAGACCCATGTTGTCTAACATGGTAGCACTAGCCACATGTGGCCCCTGAGCACTTGAAATGTGTAAGCGGAAAATCTACACCAGGTCTTGGGAGGCTTAGTACAAAAAAAGGATATAATATCTCTCGTTGATAACTAGTTTATATTATGTGTTAAAATAATAACCTTGGTTATTTTAATTATTAATATTTTGGATATTTCATATTGAAATATATTAAAATATTTAACCTTTTTACTTAAAAAAACTGGCTATGGAAAAAACTTAAATTACATATGTTGTTTGCAGCTGTGACTCCCATTATGTTTTTATTGGACAATGCTGATATAGACAAAAGTTGCCAAATGAAAAAAAATACTCTTTTTTGGAGACAGGGTCTTGTTCTGCTGTCCAGACTTGCGGCTAGTGGCATGATCATAGCTCACTGCAAGCTTGAACTCTTGGGCTCAAGTGATCCTCTGGCCTTGGAATTCCAAAGTGTTAAGATTACAAGTGTGAGCCACTATGACTGGCCACAAAATTTATAGTAAATTTACATTGGACACATTAGAAATTTATACCTAAGTATAGGTTTCTTTTTCTGGTCCACAGAAGATATTTATTTGATGTAATAAAAACAAAATAGTCTTTTATCCAACCACAAAGACTAAAAGGAGTGGAAAATTTGAATATACACATACAAAACTCAAGATGTTTAACGTGACAATTTTTTTTTTTTTTAAAATAATGCTACTAGCTGCATGTGTTGACTCATGCCTGTAATCCAAACACTTTGCAAGGCCAAGGTAGGAGAATCGCGTGAGCTCAAGAGACCAGCCTGGGCAACATGGCAAAACCCATTTCTACAAAAAAATACAAAATTTAGCTGGGCATGGTGGCACATGCCTGTAGTTCCAGCTACTAGGGAGACTGAGGTAGGACGATCACTTGAGCCTGGGAAGTAGAGGCTGTAGCGAGCCAGTATTGTGTCAGTGTACTGTAGCCTAGGTGACAGTGGGAGACCCTTTCTCAAAAACAAAACAAAATGCTTCTAAAGTTTCTTAGTTATTGAAGATTATGTGAAAACATAAGGATGTCAATAGCAACAGAGTGCATGAAACAAAATATCAAATTTTAAGCAAATGGGCCAGGTGCAGTGGCTCTTTTTTACCTGTAATCCCAGCACTTGAAGCACTTGAAGCAGGAGGATCACTTAAGCCTGGGAATTTGAGAACAGCCTGGCCAAGATAGTGAGCCCCTATGCCTACAAAAAACAAAAAAATCAGCTGGGCATGGAAGTGCATACCTGTAGTCCCAGCTACGCAGGCATCTGAGATGGGAGATCTAGAGCTCAGGAGGTTGAGACTATGGTGAGCTGTGATTGCACCTTTGCACTTCTGCCTGGGCAACAGAATGACACCCTATCTAAAAAAAAAAAAAAAAAATTAACATGTGAGGCAATTTTGCTAACATTGCATGATTTTTTTTCCTTGTTTAAAATCTGCTCAAAATAGCTTTATGCCAACTGTGTGGGCAGCACATTCAGGTTTAATATCAGTTACACATTAGCATATATTTGGAGAGATACACATAGGGTATTGTTTTCTTTTGAGCTGGCAAACTGGCCACAGAAACATCAGATCATCTCTCTGAATAAAGAATTTTATCCAAATACATGTCACATGCCTTCCAGACATATTTTAATCACATATATAATAATTTCTTAGGCTGAGTGTAGTGTCTTATGCCTATAATCCCAGCTCATTGGGAGGCTGAGGCAGGAGGATCACTAGAGCCCAGGAGTTTGAAACCAATCTGGTCAACCTAGTGAGATCCTGTCTCTACAAAATAAAAAAATAAAAAGTTACGTGAGTGTCGTGACTACATGCCTGTAGTCCCAGCTACTCGGGAGGCTGAGGTGGGAGGATTGCTTGAGGTTGGGAGTTAGAGGCTGCAGTGAGCCTCTGCACTCCAGACTGGGTGACAGAGCGAGACCCCTATCTCAAAACCAAACCAGACCAAAATAAAAAACTTTCTTCATGTGATATTTATAGATGATTTGAATTTAAAATGACTTTGATTTCTTAACCTTTTATTGTCTTAATAAAAATACTCTCGAGTTAGGAACACGGCTGGTTCCAATCTTATGACAGTATGTTTAATGAGGCCCTGTAAAAGATGAGGAGTTGTCCCTGAGGTTATGGGGCTTACCGGGAAGAGCACATGTTCTAGGTTTGAAGACAGAAGACTTAGGCTTTATCTTGGCAGACATAATGTGTGAATTTGATCTTGATTTCACATCTCTGAATCTCACTTTCCTTATTTGTAAAATGGAAATAGATTATGAGTAGTACTAGCTGCCACGAAGGTCGTCGCGTTCTCCTCATCCTTTATCATACCCCGCAAGGTAGTTGCTCTTACCTCCTTACCTCCTTTTGACAGAGGAGGAAACTGAATTTCAGAAAGGGTATACCAGTTACCTAAGGTTACGTTGCTAGAAACAGTTGAAGTGAGGATTTGAACTCAGTTTTTCTGTCTCCAAAGTCAGCTGAAAATTTTTTTTTCCCCACTCATCATGCCCCTTGTTAATTTCCCTGCCTACCTCTGAGATTATTGGGAAGATCAAATTAGACTGGCGAATGGGCTTTGGAAAATGTCATAAAAGACACAAACATGTAATAGATCATGAATTCTCAGTGAAACAGGAGCATAAACAGAAGCTCCAGAGAAATACAAACTTCTGTCTGGTGCATATTATCTGTCTGTTTAAATGAAGTGAGTATCACATGTTGTGTTTTCAGATCCAAGCTCTGAAAGTCATATTACAGAGGAATGATTTCCTTCCTCCGGATAAAAATTGACAGGAATTTGGAGGAAAATATTTCAGTGGTAATTACTAAAACGCTCAGAGTCAGATACATTCAGCATCATACTGTAAGTCCTGTTAGTCAAAGCATAAACAAGCGTAGGGCCTGGGGTGGCTTCCTTCAAGTAGGCTGACTCAGTCTGGGAGGATTCACTTAGCAAGAAGCAGAGAGGAACCAAAGCAGGATGAAGACGTTGCCCGTGCTCGTCCTGGCTCTTACCTTACTAACTGTCTTCTCAGGTGGGCATTGACTCCAAAAACAGCCTATTTCTATGCTGACATGTTAAATAATAGTCTATTTGATATTTAATTTTTAAAATTTTAAACAATATATAGTGTATAATATATAGCTATAATGCTTTTCCTTTTTTTCCCGTTAAGAGCAGGTTTCCAGAATTGTTATCATTAAAGATATGCTATATTTTCTTAAAAAAATCTTTAAATGTATTTGAGCACTAATTCTCAAAAATGCTGATAAATCTTCAGCTTCTGTTAGCTTATTTTAGAGTTTATATGAGATCACCAAAATTTGATATATTTTTATTATGACAATATCTTTCAAAATTTACAAGTAATTACCAAAGCAATGTAATTTTATGCCATTTCCTTTGAGGGACTGTGATGATCAGGTTTAACATAATCTTATGATCACTGGGCATCTTCCAGTAACAACTTTAAATGTGATTTAGTGTATTGAGGATTGAAAAAAAAAAAAAGACTTCTATGAAAACAAACCTAAGAGACACAGACCAGAAAACTGAACAAAATATATTTGAAAAAAACATATCCATTAAATTAATACCCACTTTTAAAGAGATGAACCATTGCAATCAGTAAATATGTTTAGGTTGTGCAGCTTTTGCTCTGAGTTAATCATTTTAGAAACAATTCAAAAGTCCTTTCTGAGCCCTCTGGAATGCTGCATCCTTTGGGACAGGTCCCTGGGAGAGAACTTTCATGTTTTAACCAAAACTGAACTTGCAAATCTTTTGCCGTGGACTGTGGAAATAGCTCATGAACTCCTGAGCTTAAGTGTCCTTAAGGCACCTTCCTGAATTTTCCAGAGACCTCCCCGATTTTGACGGAGAAGCAGGCCAAACAGCTGCTAAGATCTCGGCGACAGGATAGACCACGCAAACCCGGATTCCCTGACGAGCCAATGCGGGTGAGTGCTTGGCTCTGGCAGTTTTAAAGAAAATGTGATCATGTGAATGCCATTCATTATGAAGCTAGGTGTTGGTTCCAGCATGGGCTGCTAGTTGGGGGTTCAGTTAGAGTTTCAGGTATAAGATACATGCAATCTCAATCTTTTACCTATGCATTTTCTCCTCTGGAGGTGCCAGCCCGACTCACCTGTTGTGAACAGGGTAATTTAAAATAGGAATAATGAGGCTGATGGTGGGAGTTCCAGAATCTGGAGAGGGCTGCTGAGTGTCACTCCTGTCCTGCCTGCCGGGAGCTTGTTCCCTTTAGCCAATGCTAACCCCATCTCCTACCTCTTCCCTTGGGCCCTGGGGCAGGCTGGACCAGCATCCTTGGTAAATGATGGTCTGTCCAGGCAGGCAGAATGTCTGCCCCAGCTGCCTGAGAGGGCTCCAATCTCATCCCTCTGATTGTGGTCTCTGGCCTTACTTCTGCCCCGTAGGGTCATGGTATCCACCTGCCTAGTCTTTCTGACTCTCTGAGTGGATGTTACCAGACACCGCCACGCTGGCCATGGACCCAGTTTAGGCCTGGCTTGGTCCCTCCTGTTGCTAAAATGATATTGACTTTGGTGGCATTTTACCCCCACCCAGTGAAGGAAAGTAGCAGTGATGCGGCAAAGTTAGAACTTCTGTCTTGCTGGTCTCCCATTCTGGCCCCTTCATCTGGGTGCAATGCTTATCCACTCTTTCCTGCATCTCCATGTTGAGGCCCAGAAGGAGCTGCAGTAGCATGTGCCTTCATTCACTGCAAAATCACATGGATAATTTGATTATTTCATTTGAAAAGCTCTTACCAAGATACGGTATTGCACAGTGACGAAGAGTGCTGACTCTGGGGTCAGACTGGGTTTGAATCTCCCTGTTTCCTAACTGGGTAACCTTAAGGACGTTCCCTCACATTTCTGCAGTTCAGTACTCTCATCTATAAAATGGGAATAATACATACTATTGCTGATATTACTATAATATTATTATAAATAATAATGTAAAATAACTATTTTATGATGATAAAACAAAGTACTTCTTAGGAAAGCACTTAGAAAGTGCTCAGCAAATGGTAAGTACTTCTCTGAGTGTTAAGTACCAGGTACCCCCTAGGTGCTGGGGCTGTAGCTTTCTGCTTAGAATCTGTGGTGGAGACAGAAGTAAGCAAATGGCTGCTATGCAGTATGATTAAGAACAAATGACTTCAGGTGGTTAAGGATAGATGTGGCTTTTAATTTTTTTTTTTTTCTGTAGAATAAGAGGTAGCTCAGAATATTTAAGTGCCAGGTTGGAGGGGACTGGGAGGTGGGCAGGGCAAGATTGAGACAGGTTTGAATACCTTGGATTTTACCTTGTGTCTAGTAGAGAACAACGGAAGGATTTTTCAGGTGGGGGAGTACAGATCTGGGTGTTAGAGAGTTTGGGACAATTAGAAGAGAGGAGGCCGTCACCAACACTTGGAGGTGAGCGGGGGAAGAGGAACCCTGAAGGGGCTAACAAGGAATGCAGAGATATTAAGAAGCCAAGAGAGTGGGGGTGGCAGAGCAAGAGGGGAGGCTTAGGAGAGGGTGGCGGGTGAAGGAAGGGCAGCGTATGTACAGCTGTGATGGGGAGGATGCCTGCCGGGAGGGATCTTGGAGGGGGGCTCTGGCTGCCCCCCTGTACTTTTGGCATGATGTCTGGAGCAGCCATTCTGCAGCTCTTCCTCAGGGACGCTGCAGGGCCTGGGGGAGCTGGTCAAAGGGTTCCCCAAACAGCAGCTCCTTCTCAAGGTGCTCGAGAGGCAGCTCTGATGACTCCTACATCTGCCCCTGACATTTTCTGTGACAGCATCTGTGCCTGCCTCTTTGAACTCTGACTGTGGAATAACAGGCTTTGTCCTGACTGAGGCACTGTAGGTGTGGGTGAACAGGTGGGTTTGAACTGTTGCAGCCCAGCTCTCTGCCCCCCACCCTTCCTGCACCATGTCCATATGCCAGCCTACATGCCAGGCTAAACTCTGGCCCTAAAACCCTGCTTTGTGTGGTCCTTCCCCTGCTCAGAAGCTTCTGAAAGCTCCTCTGTTTGCCTTTTCCCACTTGTGGTCATCACCTCCCTTAATCCTTGACAGCCCTCTGCTTGCTTCCAACTTTGCAATTTTACTGAATATCTGGCTTTTTCTGGTTTGTTTTGCTCATCTTTTATAGGCTTGACCACCACCTGCTCCTCTTAACTGGCTCGAACCTACCTGATTAGTTTCCCTGTAACTCCTTCTTGCCTCAGAACCTATTGCTGAGCCACCATCCCGTCCTCCATATCCCTCCCTGAGACACTTGATCCATGATCCAGAATCCTCAGGCACTCAGTCCAGTTTGGAAAAGTGGTTGTATGTTTTACAGTTGAAATGTGAAACAAACATGCAGTCGATTATTGGGTGGCTAGTCTACACCAGTAGTTCTCCTCCAGGGGTGAGTATGCCTCCTCATCCCCAGGGACGTTGGACAATATCTGAAGGCATTTTCGGTTGCTACACCTATGTGGGGTGTTGCCTTTGGCTCCCCATGGGTAGAGGCCAGGGATGCTGCTAAACATCCTACCCAGGACTCAGGTCAGCCTCCACAGCCCCCAATTATCTGGCCCAAAATTTTACTAGTGCCAAAGGAGAGGAACCCGGTTTCCACACTGTCAAGTCAGCTTTTTCTTGTTTACTCCCTGTCATGCTGTGTGTGTCTCTCTCTGTCTCTCTCCATAATTGCAATCACTTGAACACACGCAGAATTGGCTGAATCAACAAATAGTGTCTGCTATCATATTTTTCGAGGAATGTGTTTCTTAACTTTGGTTACATTCTGGAACCACCTGGGGAATTTAAATTCTGGTGCTTGGGTCCCACTCCCAGAGGGGTGGCCTGGGGTGGGACCTAGATATGGGGGATGGAGCTAAAGCCCCAGTGATACCAACCTGCAGCTGAGGCTGAGGACCACTGGGCGAGGCCATCTGAGAAATCAGCCACATGCGTACCAGCTCCTGTGGGCTAGTTAGGAACACAAAAGCATTTAGAAAGCTGTTAAATGTTGAACTGAGTGGTATGGAGAGTAAGTATCTTAGTTGTTTAGACAGAGAGAGTGAGAGGGTCAAGTGGTGGGTGCTGATCAAGATGTGTACTTAATTAAATGTTACACTGACTGTGCCCTACTAAGCACCAGGCACTGAGGATGAAAGATAAGCCAGACGTTCCTCCTTCATTCGAGGTGTCCATTGTGTGGAGGTGGAGCCAGAGTGCTCCAGCCTGGTTTGGGCTCACTCTCGAGGTTGTCTGGTACAACAGACTGTGGCTGTGGAAGGAGAGAGTCTTGAGCTCTAACTGGAAGGAAGGAGGAGGCTTCCAGGCTTTCCAGAGGAGGTGCCTGTCCAGCTGTGTCTTGAAGGATGACTAGGAGTTGTCATGCAGTGCAGGAGGCAGGGATGAGGTGGGAGGAATATTCCACCCAGTGCAATTCCAGTCCATAGTCTGCCGCTAACTAGTTGTGGACTTTGGGTAAGTCATTTCCTCTTCTGGAAGCCTAGTTTTTTCATTTGTAAAATGCAGAGTTTGGCTGGAATCTGGCCTAGACATTCCAGCTCTCATATTGTAGGTCTCTGGATAGAACCTTGGGGCTGACACAGGTTTCCTGGTGCCAGTCTGCAATGTGGCAGAAGATCCAGAGGCAGCAGCATACCAACCTGGGCGGAGTCAGGCAATTTATTTTGAAGCCCCTGGAGGGGTGTCCCTAGAAACCACAGGCTTCCTCATCATGCCGACCCAGCTGCCGGGAGAACTCCACATCCTCGACTGACTATTTGACCCATTCACGCCTCTTGGGTCTCCTTGTTGACTTTTTCTTTTACGGATTTACTGAAAGCAAAATTATTAATGCCAGTCACTGGCATGTAAAAAGAGGTAATTTACTGCATTTAACTGTGACTGCCAAAATGATCCTGGCCCTGTACTCCCAGCTGGAGCATAAGAGGCAGTGGCCTCAGGTTTGTCCTTGGATGGTGACGAGCCGATGAGGCTGGACCCCTGGCCAGGGGAGCTCAGAGGCTAGCATGAGAGCTGCCTATGGGCCACATCTTCACAGCCTGGGAATGAGGGAGTTCAGGGGCCAAGGCCTTTGCCTCCTGGGAGCCAGCCCTTCTGACTCTTTGCCTTTTGTCAAGACCTCCTCACTCTCCCTGTTTCTGAGTGTAGGCCAAGAACAGCTGCGGGCAGATGTCCCTTTGTGCAGGAATAGGGTGGGATGGATGCACCATACTGTGAATTTGGCTGCCAATATTTTGTGTGTGTGTGTGCGTGTGTGTGTGTGTGAAGGATGTGTGTGTGTGTGTGAGGGTGTGTGTATTCAAATGTGAGAACTGTATGAGGGGTATGTGTGTGAGGAGTATGTGAAGGTGTGTTTGAGGGTGTATGGGGGTGTGGGTGAGGGATGCATGTGTGTAAGGACGTATGTATGTGAGGGGTGTGTGCAAGAAGTGTGAGATGAGGGTGTGTGAGGGTGTGTGTAAGGAGTGTGAGGGGTGTATGAGGGTATGTGAGGGGTTTGTGCGTGAGGGGTTTGTGTGTGAGGGTGTGTAGAGGTGTATGTGTAAGGGAATTGTGAGCGTATGTGGGTGTGTGAGGGGGTCTGTGTGTGGGGTGTGTGTGTGAGGGTGTGTATGCAGGGTGTGTGTGAGGGTCTGTGTGTGAGGGTGTGAGTGGTCTGTGTGTGAGGGGTGTGTGTATGAGGTTGTGTGTGTGTGTGGGGGTCTGTATGTGAGGGTGTGTGTTTGTGAGGGTGTTTGAGGGGTGTGTGTGAGGGGTGTGTGTATGAGGTTGTGTGTGTGTGGGGGGGTCTGTATGTGAGGGTGTGTATTTGTGAGGGTATGTTTGAGGGGTGTGTGTGAGGGGTCTGTGGGTGAGGATGTACATGCAGGTATGTGGGGTGTGTGAGGGTGTGAGGGGTGTGTGAGGGTGTGT